GCACGCACGCACGCACGCACGCACGCACGCACGCGCGCACGCGCGCGCGCGCGCGCACACGCACACGCACACGCACACGCACACGCACACGCACACGCACACGCACACGCACACGCACACGCACACGCACACGCACACGCACACGCACACGCACACGCACACGCACACGCACACGCAGACGCACACGCACACGCACACGCACACGCACACGCACACAGGCACGCACACCCACACACACACGAACACAAACACACAACACGCAACACACAACACACAACACACAACACAAAACACAAAACACACACACACACACACACACACACACACATGCACGCACGCACGCACGCACGCGCGCGCGCTCGCACGCTCGCACGTACGACCGCACGCCCGCTTGCCCGCGCGCACGCACGCACGCACGCAAACACAAACGCAAACGCAGACACAAACACAAACACAAACACAAACACAAACACAACAAAACACACACACAAAACATACACCCACGAACAGACAAACACAATCCCGCGAAAACACACAGAAGCTTTCACAAACACACAAACACACGCACACACGAAGCACAGAAACGCAGACACATGGCTTTCAGGCAGCGGCCCTCCTGGAGCAAGCGCCCGGCGGCCCAGCTGCGAAGCGAAGCCCACACTTTTCGGCGTAACGCTTGTGGCCCCTTATGAGGGGAACCCCAAAACTTGCCCAGCATGGAATGAGGGAACCACCCCTATAAACCATCCCTTGTGGCGTCCTTCAAGAAAATCCCCACATTTATTCGATCAGTCCCTACCGAGGACCAGCAAGACATTTGTTCTGCAATGCTTTCAAAGACCCAAGAGCAAATCCCCTACACAACCCAACCCCTCACACACTCCACGATTGGGAGACTGACATGAAGGATGGCCTTGTCCTTTGGTGCTTGTTTAATTGGTCCCATCCGTTTGGCTTCACTAACAACGGAGGATTGGATCCAAAGCACCTCCATCCAAACAAGCTGAAACAGGGCAAAAGAGGATAGTGTCACCTACCCCTGGTATCTTTTCGCCAGGTCTAGCAGTTCAAATCAGGTGTGCTGGACATCTGCCATCAAGTTGACCCTGCGACGTCTCGTCAATCACCACCGCCCCCGGCGAATTCTTATTGATGATCGCGGTGCCTCGGCCGAGGCGCAGCGAGCCGTGCCTCGTTTGGATGTGTTTTGATGATTGGGTGGGCTGGGAGCCGATGCGAACTTGGAGTCGGAAGAGGAGTTGAGCAAGGAGGACATTTCAGCCATGGTCATTTTATGCGGTTTCCCTGAAGGACACTGAGTGCGTTGGATTGCTGCGGTAATGTGGCGAGTCCCGCCACTCGCTTCCACATCGATGATAGATTTTGGCCTAACCTCATGTCACTACATGCAAAAGACAAGGGCCCAGCAGAGCAGAGAAGGGCTGCTTCACACTTTTCACTTTGGGTCACCCAAATCAATTCATTGATATCATTCCAGAGGTCGCGCCCACTTTTCTTTTAAAGCGGAGGGATGCTGCCCTTAAACTTGGGACCTCAAATACGCTCTCGGAGAGTTTACCTGTTGTTGAAATGCCACCCTGGCACTGCTCCAGTGATTGGCTGAAGTGTCAAGAAGTACTCTTTTTCCAGTGGAAGCTGACACGATCTGGAAGATCGCAGTCCTCTTGGAAAGACCTGCCCAGTTCCATGGCTGTTGGAAAGAGGGTATCTCTCTTTGCCAAGGGCTATCAGGCCTTCGCATCCAAGGAAGTTGGGCCGCGCCACGGACGGTGCGGCGGCCCAGCCTGAGACAGAGCATCAACATCGGTTGCGAATGGTCCACAAGCTTCGTTTGTTGTGGGGGGGTACTCCATTAATTTTGACACTGGCTAGAACACATAAGCAGCGCGATCCAGTTCAGCACATTCCATTTTGGTCGATCCAGAAGCGGTCGACCCTCCAAGAGATCCCCACAAGCAAAGTCAAGTGTGGGCGTCGGCCCTGTCCAGCTCAGGCGACCTCATGACCAAGGCCAGGACATGCGCCAGTCGGGCCATCGGGAATGTCGGAAGATTGCGAGGGCCAGCCAATGGCAAGTGTTCTTTTTGAAGGAAAAGCCCGCGAAGCTGCGGAAAAGGCACATGTCCGATGTCCGCCATATCCTTCACGACACCAGCTGCGGGCCGCGGGTGCATGACGTTGCCCTTGCTTGGATGCACAACACATACATTTGCCTGGCTCGGTCTCACCGTCGATCGGAGGAAACATGGTGTGTGTGTGTGTGTGTGCGCCTGTGCGTGCGTGCGCCTGTGCGTGCGTGCGTGCGTGGGTGTGGGTGTGGCTGTGGGTGTGGGTGTGGGTGTGGGTGTGGGTGTGGGTGTGGGTGTGGGTGTGAGGGTGTGTGTGTGTGTGTGTGGTGTGTGTGTGTGTGTGTGTGTGTGTGTGTGCGTGGCGAGCTCCAGTATACCCTGGAGCCATTTTGCAATGTACGGGGTTCCTTTGGCATGCGTCGCCCAACGAAGAGTCGCAACGTGGCATCAATCCAGGGCGCTGGATTGACGTACTTGCTATCGCCGTTGTCTGCTTTTGCCCATGTTGAAGTAACTAGAGGGAATTCATCTTGACTGGCTCGCAGTCAATCTTGACTGGCCTACTCCCTCAGGAGTCTAAGTGAGTTCGCCCCATCCGGGGTGCCCCTGAGTGTTCTCATTGCGTGTCCGCGGGAAGTCCCTGCCGTTTTCCATTGTCTCAGTCGTTTGCAAGTTGCGTTGCGCTTGATTCTGACTCGACTTAATTACTGGATACTTCGTTCTGAATGTCATGTTTGCACGGTTGCTGGATCTTGTGTTTTGTTTGTCCACTTCCTTGCTGCTCTGTTCGTCTTTCTGCTCTTGGCCCCGTTGCGGGATGGCTATTTGCTCTACTGGTGTGCTTGTTCGTGCTCCTTGTGTAGGCGCCTTCTTCTTCCTCCCGCTGGTCATCCAGTTTCTTTTCTTCGGCTTTTTTTCTCGTTCCACCTGGTCTTGTTTTTCGTGACGGTCTTCTTCCTATGTCTAAGATAGCCTCTCCGTCTTCATCTTCTTCGTCTTCTCGGCCCTTCCATTTCCGGGACCTGGTGTTGCTGTGGGTGCGAGCGTCTGTGTTGGGTGGTAGGGAAGTCGCAAAGGCCCTCTGGCGCCCTCTGGCGCCCTGTTTGATTCCATGCAACCCGACCTGTCAGGTGAGCGCCAGTCTGCCAGACACGGTGGAGAAGGCCAGCGTGCGAGTGGAGCGCCTTCGCGGGTGTTCTGGGGTTTAGAGAGTAGGGCAACCGCCGGTTGTGTCGGGCCCGTCATGCCACGCTTTTCTATGGGTTTAACGGATTTAAAGAGAGGTGTTTCCCTGAGACAAACCCTGTGATCATGGCTCACAACACAAACCAAGACTTCGTCGCTTTCAATTTTACAGGCTGGAAATGTTGGTTTACAGTTGAAAGGCCAGGCATTCTGCGATTTGCACTTGAGCCGCCTATAGTTCTGGGCTGCAGCAGTAAGACATCGCTTGCAGGATTCTAGGATGGCGCGTTTGCTCTTTGCTCTTACCCTAGCAGCTGCCGTGGCTGATGAGTGCCCTTTGGAAGGCTGCGAGGAGGCCGGGCTGATGCAGCTCCAGGGCAAAAAGGAGAACGTGGTGCATGAGGCTGACCAGGACCGTCCACGTCGTGATCGACGAGATAGCCGCTACGAAAGCTATCACCACTACAAACAGTACAGCTATGGACCTTCGCCACCTACTCGGCAGTCGACGACAAGTGAACCGGCAGACCCCTCGACGACAACTGCAACACCGGCGCCCCCGCCGCCACTGAAATGCGAGGATGCTGAGCCCCAAGCTCCGCGCAATGTCAGCTGCGGCTTTGTTGGAGAGAAGAAGGCCAGAGTCAAACCTTTGGATTCCGACTCCGTTATCAAGTTCATCCAGTGCAACCTCCACTTTCACTTGGGGGCGGAGCACCTCAGTGCTGGTGAATATGATCTTGACTCTCCACCACCAGGAACTGAAAAGGCCTCAACGGTTACGCCTGGAAAGTTCTGCAGCGTTTGCGACATCCCGCCCGTGCAGCTTGAGCCATATGAATTTGAGTATTGCAAGAATGTCTCAGTGGGCAACACCTACGAATTCCACTGGGTCTTCTCGACCGGCGCCCCGCTGGTCGGCTTGCGTGACGATGGCGAGGAGGGCCAGCTGGGCATCACTGATGGCTTGGGCGGTGCCCTGAACCGAACGAACAACCCAAAGGTCATCGTGCGTGGCCAGGCTTGCCGCATCATCAACAACGCCTCGCTTGACACGGAGGCAAAGATTGAAGCGGACTATGCAGACTTCCTCACGCAGTGGCGCACGCCACCCGCAGGGCAGGGAGTTCGATACATGGGCTCCACCACTGGCGACGCCTTCAACGACGAAGTCTGTTCACCGATCGAAGTGAATTGGCATATGGACACCAAGTGCTGCACACTGTCGGCTCAGGCCTTCGACAGGACTTGCAAGGCAATGTACGATGAGGGCTTGCGCGACGACCTGAAGCCGAAAGGTTCTCGGGCCCCGGTGTCGGCAGCAAATTCAGCGAAGGTGGTCTTTCCGCTTAGTGAGCCCACGTGCAGCAACTAGACCTCTTCTGATGGGGCACGTAGGCCGGGCCCACATTGGGATTGCTGCATTTTGTCGCGTGTCAATGGGCTCGCTAAACTCTCCGAGTATTTTCAAGATTTGTAGCCATCCTCTATGGTGGCGTGAATCTATTGAATTCTGTATAGCTTTGAAGTCTGATAATTCGCCTGTGGCGTAGACTGTCAGACTAGTGATGGCAAGGAGACCTTGAAAAGCTGCCCGCCCATGTCCTGCAGAGTTGCCGGATTGTTTGCAGAATGCACCTGTTGGCCATCGCCCCGAGAGGACCTCGTTTGTTTCTGATATTTGAGGAGGTCCTTTACAAACAACTACAGACAATAAGTTGTACATTTTTGCGCGGCCGCTGGTCCGGGTTCCTTTCATGGGCATCTCTAAGGTCAAATTGAGTAGGATGCCAGGCCTGTGCCACTGCCTCGAGATGTCCAGATGGCTGGTTTCGGGCTCCGGTCGGGGTTTCGGTGACTGTGCGCTGTTTGGCCTGGGACCCGCCCCAACTATCCTGTACAGTTTTGTGATCGCCGCAGTTTCCAGTCCTGGTGCATGAGAGCCCTACATCTTGTTCAAGCCATGGCCTTGCGAGTTTGCCTTCTTGCTTTGGTGGGCGTGGTGAAATCTGTTGACCTTGCCTGCACAGATGCCGAGCCGCAGGCACCCAGGGATGTGACTCCAGGCTACACTGGAATCCTGGCAACCAGGTACGAGCCTTACGGCGAGGAGGAGCGGCGGAACTTTCTGCAGGCAAACCTCCATTTCCACTTGGGTGCCGAGCACAAGAACGACGGCGAGTACGACCAAGCTCCTCCAGCGGGAGATCTTGCGAGCACGGTCGCTCCGGGTCTCTTCTGCAAAACTGATGGCCTTTCTCCTGCGGAGAAGCTACCTTACAACTTCCAGCATTGTAAGAATGTCTCCGTGGGCCTCACCTATGAGTTCCATTGGGTCTTCTCGAGCGGTGCTCCGGGCCAATTGGCGGACGACGGCAGTGAGGGCGAGCTCGGGATCGCTGATGGCTTGGGCGGTGCCTTTGCTCGTACCGTCAATGCGGACGTCATTGTGCGCGGCCAGGTGTGCCTCATCTACAACAACGCCTCCCTCGACACGGATGCCAAGATTGAGGCAGACTATGCGGACTTCCTCACAAAGTGGCGCCCGCCGCCAGCTGGCCAGGCAGTGAAGTATGTGGGATCCACCACCGGCTCAAGCTACAACGATAATGTTTGCTCACCGGCTGAGGTGAACTGGCACGTGGACTTGAAGTGCTGCAAATTGTCGGCTCAGGCCTTCGACAGGACTTGCAAGGCAATGTATGATGAGGGCTTGCGCGAGGACCTGAAGCCAAAGGGCTCGCGCCCACCGGTGGACAGGAGGTGGGTGGCAGACGTGACTTTCCCGCTGCAGCCTGTCTGCGAGGTTCCAGTGCGCGAAGGAAACTCGAATTGATGGACCAAGACACGCTGACCCAAGGTAGCAGCCTCGTCACTCTGAGATCACTGGCAGTTTCTCGGAACAGATCTCAGTGATCAAAGGCTGGGATTGCCGCATTGACAGGCCCACATTTGGATCGTTGCATTTTTGTTGCGTGTCAATGGGCCGCTAACTCTCAGACTTGCAGCCACCATCTACGGGTGGCTCGAACCTGTTGAATTCTGTATAGCTTTGAAGTCTGATACTTCGCCTGTGGCGTAAACTGTCAGACTGGTGGCAAGGAGACCTTGAAAAGTTGCCCGCCCATGTCCTGCAGAATTGCCTGCCTGTCTCGAGATGCCCATGTGGGGGTTGATCAAAAGGTCCTTTACGTGGGATGACCAATGGGAGAAACCACTAAACAATATTTGATATTTGCCACATGGGAAAAGTTATTCAGGGTCATTTGGGGGCCGAAGGGAATATTGATCAACCCCGTGCAGAGGTTCAAACAGACTTTTGGGTTTTTTCCGCATCGCCTCCGGCCAGTTGGGTGAGCGCTTGCACAGCCAGGCTGGGATGCGAGAGCGGCTTCCTGTGTCCGCTTTTGTAGGAAGCCGGGAAATCACGCTGGCATGGGAAAGGGTGAGACGCCTGGTGGACGCCTGGAGGTGTCAAAATGGAACGAGCTAGGGCAAACTGCAGGTTTGAGTCTGATCCATTTACCATGGTGCCATGTTTGAACATAACCCTTGCAGGACGATTCCTATTTTGAGAGCCACGCCATTGGCGTCACTAGAATTGGCCCCCGAAAGCTATCTATCAAGACGTATCTACCTTCCTAACTTATTTATATTTATGTCCATATTTATCTGTGTTCGTTTATATCTCTTCGTTTATCTATGTACCTATCCATCTATCTAATCTATCTATCTATCTATCTAATCTATCTATCTATCTATCTATCTATCTATCTATCTATCTACCTATCTATCTATCTATCCATCCATCCATCCATCCATCCATCCATCCATCCATGCATGCATGCATCCATCCATCCATCCATCCATCCATCCATCCATGCATCCATGCATCCATGCATCCATGCATCCATGCATCCATGCATCCATGCATCCATGCATCCATGCATGCATCCATGCATCCATGCATCCATGCATCCATGCATCCATGCATCCATGCATCCATGCATCCATGCATGCATGCATGCATCATGCATCCATCATCATCCATCCATCCATCCATCCATCCATCCATCCATCCATCCATCCATCCATCCATCCATCCATCCATCCATCCATCCATCCATCCATCCATCCATCCATCCATCCATCCATCTCCATCCATCCATCTCCATCCATCCATCTCCATCCATCTCCATCCATCTCCATCAATCTCCATCCATCTCCAGCCATCTCCAGCCATCTCCATCCACCTCCATCCATCTCCATCCACCTCCATCCATGTGCATCCATCTCCATATCCATGTCCATATCCATGTCCATGTCCATCCATATCCATCCATCCATCCATCCATCCATCCATCCATCCATCCATCCATCCATCCATCCATCCATCCATCCATCCATCCATATATCCATCCATCCATCCATCCATCCATCCATCCATCCATCCATCCATCCATCCATCCATCCATCCATCCATCCATCCATCCATCCATCCATCCATCCATCCATCCATCCATCCATCCATCCATCCATCCATCCATCCATCCATCCATCCATCCATCCATCCATCCATCCATCCATCCATCCATCCATCCATCCATCCATCCATCCATCCCAAAATTGGTCCCTTGTGGTTGTAGGAAGGGCAGCTCTTTCACGAGCGCTTCTTGGCAAGCTTCCCCGTGCAGGCGGGAAGTTGGATGAGAGGCAGCTAGCTGTCAGGCTGACTTCTAGCTGCCCTTTCAAGTGTCTCTCAGGGAAGGTTCCTTAGCTGGTGTTAACATTTCAGTAGCAGCTAGCTTGAGCCGCTGCTTTTTCAGGTTCAGCCTAACGGAGCGTCGACTTTGGCTGGCAATTTGAGTTTGGGTGTTCTGCCACAATATTGACAACCCGATTGAAGAGTAGATCCACATTCGCCCTGGGCTTACCACATCCAACGTGCGGAGGATCTGCTGGTACTGTTGATGTACACAATCCTGCACCAGTTAGGACTGGGAACAAACCTCCACCCCACTGGTGCGTGGCGTCGCTTTTGTCCAGTCCTCGTGGATTTGAAGCCTTGCCCGACTTTCGAATCATCTGAACTCCGGAACGGTCTCTTCATGTAGGGAAACGTAACGCGCTGCGGAAACAACCGGGAAGCATGACGCTTTGGATCGAACGGGGCCAAAGGCACACCTTGTTTGGGTCGCCGGTTCGCAAGAGCCTTCCCTTCGAGTCTGCGAGTCTGACGACTCCGGCAATATCAGAAAATCCGACTCCCGGCAGTGCCATGGCGGCAACGTCTGTCGGGCAAGTGCAGAAGCTCCAAAGCATAGGTGTCCTTGGGTCAGTTCGGTACACATCAACGGGTTCTGGTTTAGATGGTTTCTAGGGCTATCTATTTGATGGTTTGAAGCATCCCTGGTGCATTGACATAGATGGGTTCTGCACTGGTTCAGATGGTTTTTTGTCCAACCAGGGCTATCATTTTTTGCCAATAGGTCACCTCTCAAAGGGACCCTTGGAGTTCGCCTCTTGACATTGCTCACATGCGGTGCGTCAACTCGGGCCTTACACCAACCTGCGCGGCTTGCCCCGCGTTCTTCCGACCCCGAGCTCCTTTTTTTTTTTTCTCCCCCGACCCAACCAGGTAAAATGGAGGCCAGCAAAAACCAATTGTCCGGAATCAACCGGAAAACCGGAAGTTGGCCAACCCTCCTTGGTTCAGTGGGCATTTGGCTCTTTTTGTCCTGCTGGGAATCACCAACATGTTCCTTTCGGCTGCCCCTTGTCTCTGCCGAGCATAAAACGGTCGCACCACGAGCCCTGCTTGAGACCCGCGGGCGCGGGTTCCGCGGGTTCGAGGACAACGCGGAAGTGGATGCCTTTGTGAGCAACCAGCTCCGGGGCTCTGCGGAGCTGCCGGAGCCCTTTGGGGGTGGTGGGTGGGGAGGAGGAGGAGGGAGGGAGGGGGAGGGAGGGGAGGGGAGGGAGGGAGGGGAGGGAGGGGAGGGAGGGGAGGGAGGGGAGGGAGGGGAGGGAGGGGAGGGAGGGGAGGGAGGGGAGGGAGGGGAGGGAGGGGAGGGAGGGGAGGGATTTGCGCGGTCGAGTTCTTGTTGTAGTTTTTTTGGGGGGGGATAGCACTCTTGTTGTCAGGGTGTGTTGTTTGTTTTTGGGCGAAGAGTTCTCCGATTCTGTCTTCCTAAAGGATTACTGTTTCAGCCCTGGAAATTTCTATACTTCCCTCACGGGGTGGGTTTAAGCATTTTGGAAAGGCCTGAGGATTGGAACGTGGGTGCGGAGAGTGCTAGTCGTGAGTGTTGGTTGAACTTAGTCAGGGGCAACGTGCTTTATCAAAAGAGGCAGCTGTCTCACAACAATGGGCTTGTTTTCAAAGGCGTTTGGAGGTAGCAGTCCGAGGGTACCCTGGTATTTGCAAAGCTTTCATGTATCCAACCCCGGTTGAGCAGCGCCCACAATCCCCACGCTTGGTTTCATTTCAGGATTACAGGAAGGCCGACAGAAAAGCTGCACCTGTGTTGGCAGGACCAAGAGTGATCCCAAAGGGTTTGGTTATAGGAAGTCTACCGGACATGGCCCCAAAACAGCGTAGATTGTTGAAATTATTGCAACCCAACTGTTTGATTCATGGATTTTGGTGCAGCTCAGTTCAAAAGAGACGCTCGGCTCAGGCTGGGAAGCCTCGTGCAGCAGCAGCTGCATGAAGAGCTGGCTCGCTGCTCCCAGCAGCCGGGGGTCCCAGTTTTTGGCATCGGAAATGGGAGAGCCGTACAGGAATTTCTGCAGGAAGCTGGCCAAAAAGCCACCCAAAGCAAAGAGTTCCTGTAGAGTTTCCTGTCGGTTTCTTAGAAGGGTCACTGTGCTTCGGTAGGGTCAATTGTTTGGGGCAGGTGTGGGGCGGGCGGAGTGGGGGGTGGGGTGGGGGGTGGGGGAAGGGGGTTGGTTGTTTGACAATAGGTCAACGTTTGCCAAATCGAGACTAACCATGGGTTTTGACACGCCAAGAAAGCAAGCGTGCAAGCAGCACAGGCAGCCAGCTGGCCAGCCAGTCATCCACTCAGCCACCCAATCAACCAACCAATCGATCAACCACTCCCACATTCCACTGGTAACACGGTGTGGGGATGGGTACATGGGGCCCATGTGAAACAAAGCTGGTCGTATCTCCCAGGCTGCGTCCGTGGATACAGCAGCACTGCGCAATCACCACAGAGGCCGACTGGGAAGCCGAGTTCCATTCCGGGAAAATGCTCGACTTTCTCTCTTCAGGATTTGTGACTTCCCCATGCTTTTTCGCTGCCACACCAGATCCGTTTTCCAGGTACAACTGACACCGTCTCATTACCCTTCAAGGAGTTTTGCACCTGGAACTCCAGAACGGTGGGCCGCTCCCTTTTTCAACTCTTTCTCTTCGAGTGGGTTCCAATTGAAATTAGCGCCCCCAAAATGGGTGTCCATTTTTTCCCCCACTGGGGCACTGGAGGACCCTCGTGTCCAGAACGCGGATGATCGTGGTTCCAGTTTCGGGAAGGGATGCCGTTGATTCGAAAGGACCCCAATCTGAAGGGTTGCCAAGACCCCAGTTCGGCCAAGCACTGCCCAGCGTTGCGATACAACTTGGCGATTTTGAGGGTACTCCTTTGTTGGTGGTTTCAAAGGGAAAAAAGGAAAGCCATCCACATGTCCTTTGCTACCAGATCAAAAAAGGACGGCGTATCTTCAGGTGGATGATGTTACCGGCCGGAAACATGGCCCGACCAAATCGCAAGTTTCAGAAATGTTTCCGGGAGGTACTACGCCTTTTGTCCTGGGGGACAAACGTCAGGG